GGATCCCATATAGAGACCGGTCCGCCCACTGGTTGAGCACGGTGCGGGCGCGACACCAAGGGTTGCGATCCCGTTGCCGGTTGTGGTACGGGCGCGACACTGAGGGTTGCGATCCTGTTACCGGTCACGAAAAAAGACAAAAAAAGGAAAAAAAAAAAAAAAGATGACTGGTAAGGGGATCTTAACCCTTGACTTGGTGTTGTCAGCACCACGCTCAACCAGTGAGCTAACCGGCCATCCCTATATGGGATCCGAACCCGTGGCCTTGGTGTTATCAGCACCACACTCTCCCGAGTGAGCCACGGGCCGGCCCAAAATAAGTGAATTTTATGGTATGTAAAGCACATCTTAATAAAGCTGTTATTTTAAAAAAAGAAATCTCTGGCAGGACACCAGATCTGGTTCAAGAGGTGTCTGATTTAAATTTCTGACGTGGAGCTGTTCTAAGTCATGACAGGGTCCAGGCTAAGACTCTCTAGGGAGGGTTGCTGGGATGAACGGACAAGGAGCCAGGAGGCCCTAACCCTGACTCCCACAGGACTCCCTATCACTCTCCACCGTGATTGTTCATTTATGTGCACAGCTCCCATGGGGACTGGGAGCAGCTTGAAGGCTGAAGTGCTCTTATGCTTTACTCACGTGTATATCTCTAAACCTTGCAAAGGCCTGAGACACAATCTAGCATCAGGCTGGCATCAAATAATGTCTATTAGGAGAATACAATGGTGCTTTTAAAGTGTCTTCCTCCATCCCCAACAGCCTCGATCAGGACAGGTTAGTGAATTAGAGATAAGCTTTCTAGCTCTATGGTGGAAAGTCACCCAACCTCTCTAAGGTGCTGGCAGAAAAATATCTGCTTCCTGGTGGTCATGGGAATTAAACAGTGGCTAAAAAAACCCCTATCTGATTTCACTGGAGCCACCTACTGCATGGTCATCACCTGAGGCTGAACTTCTGCAAGGCCCCAAGAACATTCTCCCGGGTGATGATGTCCTTGTCCCCCTCCTTCAGCCTTCCCTCCAGCATCCGCAGCACCTTTGTGTTCTGGGAAAGGTAACGACGACCTAATAATATGCCAGAGATGAAACAGGTGAAAGATGGAAGGAATTTATCAGTATACTACAAAACCATTTTCTATGGAAATTTCGTTTGCATAGAACACAGTAGAGTTTGGGTAATTTTATGTGCTAAAAAATTTACTACAATGTATTTCTTCTAAAAGATGGTTTTATTCAATCAACTATCTAATGAATGCTAAACATAATTCATTGCCATGTTCTTGTGGGGAGCACTGTCCTTTATATGCCTGAAATCCTGAACCGACAGTCAGGTCTACATGGAGAAAAAGAGGGTGGGGATCTCTGTGTGATGAGCCCCTCAGCCTTCACAACAGAGGTGTTCATGGGGCTGCCGTACTCCCTGCTCCCCCAGGCACCCAGGGCCTGAAGAAGTAGGTGAGAGCCATGTCTGGGACCCTATAGTAAGCCCAGAATGGCCACTATCCTGTTGTGTTGATACAGAAGACATTAATTTCAAACATAAGTTTCAAAAGGATTATTATATGAATGGTCCACAGCACAAACCCTGGCTTATAATAAATGTACACCAAATGAATGGAAGAATGAACAAATGAATGAATGAACAAGCTTTTGGAGTATCACATATTCGTAATTTCAAAACTCCCTTTATTCACATTAAAAAGAGTTCAAACAAATAAGAACTTAGGGAAGATACTAGCACTTTGTAAATCACTTTGAATTCAGTTATGGTGGCTTGTTATTCTTGGAGTTTTCAAATCTTTTGATTCAAAAGGTTATAATCTTTTGAAGAAAATTCTGCAGCACTAATTGGAATCAGTTTTAGTTGTTTCACCAACATTTTGCCTTAAGTAGAAATTATAGAATGTGTATTCCCTGTTATTTACTTGAAAGTAATCTAAAAAATACTTGTTATAAAACCAGAGAGCTCATAAGATAAAACCAGAAGGCTTACAAAAGAAACTCCAAAACCACCAAAATTTGCTCTGCCATAAACTAAAGCAATATGATAACAAAACATTTTTACAAAAGGTGAATTAAACAGCAAGTCCTTTTCAAAGGGAAAAATGCATCTGTAAGATCTGGCTCTTCTCTTTGAAGAAAGTTGACAGCTCACCTTCGGCCAGTGACGCAAAAGCGTTGATGAGCCTGGCCGTGTACTGCCGCACCACCTCACTCCTGGAGTGCAGCAACTGAAGCACGCTCCTCTGCGGGGAAAACATCAGGAGAGGAAAAACAAAGAGGTTAAGAACGGGGAGAGGTGAATATGGGTCTTCTCTATAGGTCTGGTCGTTCTCTTCCTCTGCCTGGATCAATGAGAGGGGAAATAAACAGGCTAAAGCCAAACATTTCATCTAGAAGTCTTGATTTCCAACTAATACTTGATGAGACTTGACAAGAGTAAGTTATTCAGACGTCTAAACTAAGTGGATGAACTATACAAAGCACTCAGAACAGTGGCACAGAGGAAGCAGTACTGCTTGCTGTAGCTACTGCTGCTGTTTTTCCAGGTTAGAATGGTGGATCCAACAGATATCTAACTTTGCTTCCTCCAAACCCCAGTAAAACTATCGTAAATGCCTTTCTAAAAAAGACAAATTCTCAAGGACCAAGAGAACAGCACAAGAAACCACAACACCACAACTTAACAGGCTAAGCACATTCAAGAATGCCAAAGCTCAAGGCTGCAATGGCAATGAGGAATCATCCAGTTCCCATCACCTAATCCTCAAAAGGCTCAAGAAATGGGGGAAAATAAAGACGCATGAACGAAAGCCATTAAAGCAGCAGCTGGATCCACTCAAGCTGTTCCTTCGCATTGTCTTCCTGCGCACCTCCCAGCACAGGGCTGGGGAAGGGTGTTCTCTTGAGGGGGTAACTCAAAGGGGTCAGTGGATTGGGGGACACCAGGGACAGGTGAGCAGGGGTTCTATACCAAAATGGAGGTAGGAGATTGGGTCTAAATGCAGATGAATGCTGAACAGAGTCACCCCCAGTCCACACTCCCTACTGGCAACCAGACCCTTACCCTCTAGGCAGGAGATTCTTCTCAGAGCCAGCCCCAGGGGAGAGAACTAGAGATCCTGAAATCAGAGGTTCCCAATAAATGGCCCGCCTGGATGCCCCTCAGTGGAGCTGTACATTTACAGGCCACATCCTCACACTCAGGACTTCCAATCGGCTTTTCAGTCTGCCCTTCTAAATATCTCATTAGGAGATAACCAAGTACTCCCAGACATCCAAGGAAAGTTGCTACCATGGGAAACAGAGCCAAAACAAAGGGGCAGGGGAAGCACTTCTGAAGAAATGAGACTGTGCAGGGAGAAGAAAACTAAAACTAAAGAAAAATTTGTCACCAATATCCTCAAAGAATAAGAAGCTGTATTGTATCCAAGAAACAAGAGAATGCTATAAAAAAGGAAATGAAAAACTCAACTGAGACTGGCCAATTAGCTCAGTTGGTTAGAGCACAGCCTTATAAAAATCAAGATCACAAGTTTGGATCCCTGTACTGGCCGGTTGCCAAAAAAAAAGAAAAATTCAACGGAAGGGGTGGAAAATAAAGACCAGGAAATCTCCCAGAAAGTAGAACAAAAAGAAGAAAATAGAAACTATGAGAGAAAAGATAGGAACAGAGAACCAGTTCAGGAGGTCCAACCTTCAGAAAGAGAAAACAGAAGGAAAGAAATCATCAACAAAATAATTCAAGAAAAGTTCACAGAGGCAAAGGTGTCAGATTGAAAGGGCCTATAAAGCATTTACAACAATGGATCAAAACACACCTCATGAAGGACATCGATGAGAAATTTACTAACACTCACGATGAAGAGAAGATTCAACATGCTTCTAGATAGAGAAAAACAGGTCACATTTTAAAAATGAGGAATCAGGCCAGGCCGGCCCGGTGGCGCACTGCTATAGTGCGCCGCTTGGGAAGTGCGCGGGGCTCCCGCCGAGGGTTCGGATCCCACATACAGACCGGTTCCCGCTCGGGAGCAACACCGAGGGTTGCGATCCTGTTGC